TTCCTGCTTTTCCCTTCAGAATCAGAGCCCCGGTGGGTTTCCCAGCCCCCCTGCTCCTGATTAGACCAGGGTTACAGCCGCCCGATCGCAGAGCTGGCAACCCCAGGGGAGTTGTATCAAGGGAAGACCCCGATGCCTGGCTCCCCATCCCAGGGAGTGACTGGCCCTCCTTCTTGTCTGCAGGGACATCGCCGTGAGGAACGTCCTGGTGGCTTCGTCCGAGTGCGTGAAGCTGGGGGACTTTGGCCTCTCCCGGTACATTGAGGACGACGAGTATTACAAAGGTGAGGGCCAGGGTGGAAGGGCCGTGGACCAAAGCCCCATGAAGTCAAGGGGAAGGTGTCAGGTGTGGGGAAAGCCATAAGGAGAGCAACAGGGCTGGAGGCCTGTTGAAGATGTACACTGCAGCCGGACTGAAGCTATAGAGACTATTAAAAATCTGCTGTTTGCAAGCCAGGTACGCTCGCTGACCACAGTCTTCAGAGTCCGTATTGAGGAGCAAATATATAATCTCTGGTGGGCTAAGATCAACTGGGGGCATCCGAATCCCAACACCTCCGGGCTTGGGGCTGCATGTAGGATGCCTGCCAACGAATTTGGGAGTATCTGAAGTCCCAGGGCGAGAGCCGGGGATGGAGGATGCTCACCAGTCGTAGAGCCAGGCGTGGTGTTTAGATTGACTGAAGAGGGGTATTCGAGCGCTGACGTCTCCAACAGCATGGCAGGCTCTGCTCCAGGGCAACCCGTCTTTATTGCTTTTCCATCCTCCCCAGGACCTTTCCTTTTTTCTCCTGGGACCTTCTCCCCTGGGACCTTTGCCCTTCTCCAGCTCCGGCTCCTCCAGCCCAATGCAGCCCTTGCAACAAAACAGTCACAAAACTATATCCTTCCCCTTGGACAACCTCACCCAGTGCAGTGAAACGTCATGTCATGGGGAACCCATCAAAGATCGGTCTTTGTGAGCAGCTGGCAGGCCCAGACTGCCGTCTGCTCCTGGGGTGAACAGGACATCTGCATGTCCTACTTCAGGAACTGTTTGCAACCATTATATGCAGTAAAGCTGCCCACAATGAGCCTCCAAAGTGCTCCCCGCAGCCTAGCATCCAGCTTGCCCAGCCTCCTTTGTCACCTGCAGTTTTTCTATATTTCCTAGCACACTTTTGGGCCAGAGAAATCAAGGAGAAACATCCAGGTTTGTCACCAAATCCTTGCTCTTCAGCCTTGGACTCTGGCTGAATGGCCCGCATGCCATTACACCAAAATAAGCACTTTGAAATGTAGATTTCAAGCCTTGGTAGGAAGGCCTCTTGGCTGACAGCTGGGCCCTGGTAGAGATGTTGAGGACTTTGCACATTTAAGATTATCTCTATTTCAAGTGTTAAACATTGTGTTAGTAATGAGCATTGGATCGTTTAGTTGGATAGGTTTTTACCGATATTGTCTTTGCATTCATATACCTTTCGTGTTTCAGTCCGAAAAGTGTTATTACTTACCATCATATTGTCATTTTACCATTCATATACCATTCATATTTCAGTACGAAATTGGTATTACTTAGCATGATATTGTCTTAGCATTCATCTACTTTTTGTATTTCAGTACTAAAATTAGTATTACTTATCATTATATTGTCTTGTCATTAATATACCATTTGAATCTATGGCCTATATGAGAAGGTTTTAGGACTTTAGGTCTTAGGACACTGAAGAATCATCTGTCTTTGAAGTATTAAGCACTTGGTTAGTCATGAACATTGTATTGTTTGGTTTGATAGGCTTTATATATATTGTCTTATATATATTGTATTTCAGTACTAAAATTGGTATTACTTATCATTATATTTTCTTACCATTCATATACCAGTCATAGTTCAGTACTAAGATTGGCGTTACTCATCATTATGTTGTCTTATCATTCGGATACCATCTGAATCTATGGCATATGTTAGAAACTTTGAGAACTTTAAGACTTAGGACATTTAAGATTAATCTCTGTTTGAAGTATTACAAATTCTGTTAGTCATCATTGGACTGTTTGGTTTGATAGGCTTTACCTAAAATTGGTATTACTCATCACCATTAGATGTTCTTATCATCCACATACCATCTGAATCAATAGTATATGCTAGAAGCTTTTAGGACTTTAGGACTTAGGAAGTTTAAGATGAATTTTTATTTCAAATATTAAATATTCTGTTAGTCATGAACATTGGATTGTTTAGTTTGATAGGCTTACCAATATAGTCTTCGCATTCATATATTTTTTTGTGTTTCAGTGCTAAAATTGTCATTGCTTACCATTATATTGTCTTACCCTTGATATACCTTTTGTATTTCAGTACTAAAATTACCATTCATGTACCATTTGAATATATGGTATATGTTAGAAGAATTTAGGATTTAGGACACTTAAGATTCACCTCTATTTGAAGGATTAAAAATTCTGTTAATAATGAACATTGGATTGTTTGGTTGGATAGGCCTTGCCTACATTGTTTTAGCATTCATATACCTTTTGTATTTCAGTACTAAAATTAGTATTGCTTATCATTATATTCTCTTACCATTCATATACCTTTTACATTTCAGACTAACATCGGCATTACTCATCGTTATAGTGTCTTAGCATTCACAGACCTTTTGTATTTTAGTACTAAAATTGGTATTACTCATCATCATTATATTTTCTTATCATTCACATACCATTTGAATCTATAGCATATGTTAGAAGCATTTAGGACTTAGGACATTTAAGATTCATCTTTATTTCAAATATTAACAGTTCTGCTAGTAATGAACATTGGATTGTTTGGCTTGATAGGGTTATCAATATTGTCTCAGCATTCATATATCTTTTGCATTTCAGTACTAAAATTATTATTACTTATCATTATATTATCTTACCATTTATATTTCATACTAAAATTAGCATTCATGTACCATTTGAATATATGGTGTATGTTAGAAAATATTAGGACTTAGGATTCATCTCTATTTGACGGATTAAAAATTCAGTTAATCATGAACATTGGATTGTTGGGTTTGATAGGCTTTATATGTGTTGTTTTAGCATTTGTATTTCAGTACTAAAATTGGTATCACTCATCATTATATTGCCTTAGCTTCCATATCCCTGTTGTATTTGGATACTAAAATTGCCAGCCAAATTGCTATCCACTAAAAAGCATGAATTGCAATGTATCCTCTTGACTACTACTGGTTGCACAGGCTCCCTGGACCTTCCTTGGACCCCCAAATAACTCTGAGGGTCAACAAAGGGCATGTCCATGATCGGTGTAGGGGGCCAGGAGCCCCTGGGGGTACCACACTTGGCTTCTGCCATGGTTAGATGCTCCTTGGCCCTCGCCTGGCATGGTTTTGGGGTGGAAGAGTGACCGTACCCACTCCTCTGCCCTCACAGCTTCCGTGACCCGGCTCCCCATCAAGTGGATGTCTCCTGAGTCCATCAACTTCCGCCGCTTCACCTCCGCCAGCGATGTGTGGATGTTCGGTGAGCAAGACGCCCAGCCGTGGCGGAGGGGGTGGGGGTGTGTGAACGGGTCAGTAGCAGAGCAGGGACTTCCCCAGGTGCCCCCCACCCCAGGTGGGTCTCCCCCCCCCCCCATTGCATCACCACCAGTGCAAAGAGCTCTTGCCCAGTTGGTGCCCGCGCCTTGCTGGTCCGGCCCCCACCTACTGACCCACAACACGATGTGTGCCTGCCCTGCAGCCGTGTGCATGTGGGAGATCCTGAGCTTCGGGAAGCAGCCCTTCTTCTGGCTGGAGAACAAGGATGTGATCAGCGTGCTGGAGAAAGGCGACCGCCTGCCCAAGCCTGACAACTGCCCGCCCATCCTCTACACCCTCATGACGCGCTGCTGGGACTACGACCCCAACGAGAGGCCCAAGTTTAAGGAGCTTGTCTGCAACTTGAGGTAACCGCCAAGGAGGGGCTGACATGGGACAACATCCAGAGTACCTGGCGGGAGGCATTGTGGCCATGTCTGCCTGGCAGGGCAGCTCCTGCAATAGCTGTGTTGGCATTGACATGGCCGCAGCGGGGTGGCATGGGAGGGTGTTGAACAACTGCGGTAATGGGACCGTCAGTGGGGAACAGGGCTGAAAAAACCACATGGCACAACCGGTTTGCCTTGATGCGCTTCGTTAGCATCCCCTTCAACACACTGTTGGTGGTGAGCAGCCGTCAAACAGGCCAACACAACATTAAGAATGAATAAGAAGGGACTTGCAAACAAAATGGAAAGCATCAGAATGCCCTTTTATCAACCCATGGTGCAATGCACCTTGAATCCTGTGCCCAGCTTTGGTCCCTGCCTCTTCCAAAGGAGATAGAAGAAGCAGAGAAGGGAAATAGGGAGGGTAAGTAGTCTTCATAGGGAGACTAAAGGGGCCAGGCCCGGTCAGTGTAGAAAAGAGATGCTTGAAGGGGGGACATGATAAAGGTTGACAAAATACTAAGTGATGAAGAGCCAGTAAGTGCTCACCTCCAACCTTCTGGTGTAACCGCTAGGCAATGCTCCATGCCACCTCCACGCTCCATGCACTCATGCTGTAAGGTGAGCTACCTGCAAACCAAAGTGCATCCATTTTCATTTAGGGTGGAGAAGGGTGGGGAGGCAGACAGCAAAGGTGTCAGTAGTGGCTGGATGCAGTTCGCTGGAGCGCGGTTGGTTGAACACGAGAGGAACGGGAGTGCGGCTGGACCGGTGGTTGAGCGGGAGTGCGGTTGGTTGGATGTGAACTACGGCTGACTGGACACGTGGTGGACTGGCGTGCAGTTCTTTAGCATTCTGCTCTGCATGGCAGCTGAAGGGGTTTCCCTACTACCTTCGTTGCACCGCCTCCCCGATGCTGGAAAGCCTGGCTGGCAGGAGCTCTTCTGTGTCAGACAGGCCTGTGCAATGCCAGGGGCTTGGGCAGTGGGGAGTCCTCCTTGCCGGTGGCTGCCATTTTGCTATCTACCGTGGGGCCCGTGAATCACAAAGCCAAAGGCCGATGGTTTTTGAGCTCTCGGGACCCTGGCTTTAACCCCCAGGTAGCTGACACTGGGTCCACATGCATCTCCATGCTCCTTGCCCACGGAGCAGGCCAGAGGATGATAAATTCCTCCCTTGGCCACTGCTGAGATTTGGGCACTGGTTTCCTCTTGCATTAGCACAGAACAGGGAGATGGGACTGAGTGGAAGCACTGGCTTTCATGTCCACCCCTGAGCAATTTGGGGAGATGGAGGTGGCTTTCCAATTCCTGGTCTCTGTAGTGCCTGAGGCCAAGCAGACTCTGGCCCTCTGGCTCACTCTGCACCAAGGAGAGCTTGGAGTTGGCCCTGGACCTCCCAAAACCCACCCCGCTGCCCTCCCCACCAGGCCCCAATGCCTAACTCAGTCCAGTAAAACACCCTGGGATCCCACATGTCTTCAGAGAGCATTTTGATGAAGCCTCACCTTGTGCCCAGCTCTGCTCTTCAGGTTGTCATTGCAGAGCGAGGAACGAGCCGTGGCGCTGTCCTGATACCCAGCCGTCCACAACTCAGTCTCCCACCCTTCCCCTGTGGAAGTGCCCAAGAGAATCGGGGCCACATACCCACAGACATCCAGTTCACTCCAGTTCAGCACAGTCTGAACCGGCCTGCATGGGTCTGGCCAGCCATCCCTCCAAGCCTTTCTCTGCTATGACGTCTGCCATGGCCAACGTGGTCCACAGCCCCTAGTTAGGAATATAAGAGATGATGTCTCGAATCATCCCGTGGGTCCATCCAGTTTGGCACCTTGCCTTGCACAGTGGGTGGGGTAATGGTGGCTCCTTTTCTTCCCTGGCGTGCAGTGACATTTACCTGATGGAGAAGGACATCGCCAAGGAGCAGGAGAGGAACAATCGCCACCGGCCTCCCAAAATCATGGAGCCCTCCTCCTTCCAGGATCCACCTCCTAAGGTAGGAAGAGCACGTGGGATTTGCTGTGGGACATCTGTTCCAGCTGTGCCAGCTGTTGCCCCACCCAGCTCTACCCACAGAGTCCATCCTGAGCACGTGGGGTTCGTTGAGGATGGCTTACAGGGGAGGATACAAACCTACTACAGCTGTTATTTGCCCTTTGAGATTGGGGTGGTCAACCTGGAGCACAAGTGGCATGGGCAGGCAACACAGGGGCAAACAGGGCTGGGAGCAGAATGCAGAGCAGCAGATCGGGCAGGGAGCTCAGGGCAGGGAGCAGAACGCAGAGCAGCAGATCGGGCAGGGAGCTCAGGGCAGGGAGCAGAACGCAGAGCAGCAGATCGGGCAGGGAGCTCAGGGCAGGGAGCAGAATGCAGAGCAGCAGATCGGGCAGGGCGTCAGAGTGGTATTCGATGAGGGTGTGGGGCTAATTTATGGCACACCGGCCACAAAGGTTGGCCCGTGCTGCTGTAGCTCAGGGTTTCAGCTCCTCCTTGCTCGTGGCCCATGAACGTACATAATGGTGTCAGTAACTCGGATTCCCTGTCCCTTCCCCATCGCCTGAGTTCGCCAGACTTCCTAGCCCACAAGCCCTGCAGCGATGGGAGCTTTGCTTCTTCCAGCTCTGGGCAGGGACAAGTGCTTCTGCCCAAGCAGCAGAGCCCATCTGCTCAGAGATCACCCCAGCCACAGCTTGGGACAAAAGGGGTTTAAAAACCAAATGCACACTTGATTTTTAACCTGTCAAATAGGAGTGCTCTCACCTTGTGGGCTGGGACTCGCAGCACGACGCGTGGTGTTACCAGCTGTCTGCCTCCGAGGCAGTGGCATAGGGGGGCTCTAGGGTTATGCATCAAGGAGCATAACTAGGTGATCTCAATAGCAATCACGTGCCATATATTTTTGTGTGTGTCTGTGTGTGTCAAACAGCACGGCTGTCTGGGCACAGGCAGACAGCGTGTTGTGCCGTTGTACTGGATGCCAGTCCCTTTGGCGGTGTGGTGAGACACCCGAATGAAACACAGGGTCTCCCCTTGCTAGAAAGCAGCTCCCTGGAGCAATTGCCTGTTTTCCACATGTTGGAATCTGAATGACCCAGTCGGTAATTCAGATAAAATCCTTGATTAAATCCAAATCATAGTACTATAGAAAACAAGGGTTGAAGGGACCTCAGGAGGTCACATCTAGTCCAACCCCTGCTCCAAGCAGGACCAGCCCCAACTACATCCTCCCAGCCAAGGACTTTGTCTACTTGGGTCTTCAAAACCTCCAAGGATGGAGACTGCACCACCTCTCTAAATAGTCTGTTTCAGTGCTTCACCACCCTCCTAGTGAGAAATTTTCTCCTAAATGTCCCTTGCTGCAAATGCCAACAGCAGTTGTACCACAGTACCTTCAACAAATGCTTGAAAAGACCACCACCCAATGCTAACTACGCACTAGCCAGCAGTCTTACCATACTTATTAATTGCTGCATGCATGAACTAATTACAGTTACAAGCATTTGATCCAAATACTTACACCTGGGCCTGCCAGGGAGATGGGAGCTGTCCCATGCTGGCTGGCTCCAGCAGCTCACACTAGCAAAGAAGCGCTCTCTCTTCTTCCATTTTATACCCCTAAATTTCTCATTGCATCCTAGCTGGAAACATCACATATTTGTCTTGTCTTTTCCACACACCAATGCTGCTTCCTTTGCCCATTTGCTCTAAATTTCCCAGGGATAATGTCCCCTATACCGAGCTGGCATCTTTTCTCCCATGCTTCCTTCTAGATTTTGGGGGTGCAGGTTGTAGCCGTGTTAGGCTAAGGACGTAGGCAGACAAGGTTCTTTGGGTAAATGTGGTATCTTTTATTTTTTATTTTATTTTATTTTAATTGGTCTAATGAAAGATACCACATTTGCCCAAAGAACCTTGTCCTTCTAGATTAGCACATCTATGGATATTCGCATTTTCACTTGTTCGAGGCGATTGGCTGTGTGACCTTCTGTTTCTCTCTCTCAGCTGGTGGATCCCTATACTGTTTTGCTTGTATCTGATAAAACCTCCCATCACTGTTGGTGCTGGATTTATGACCCAGTCCTGACACCTTGTTCCAAACCTTCAGACCGATCACAACTTCTTCCATTCAATAATAGGCACATTTTATTTGATTTTGTTGCTCTCTATGTCCAGGATCAGTTCACTTCCCTGCAAATTGAGTTTTCTAACCAGGAAGGGTGTCTTGAGACCCTCTGGGTCAAAATACTGGGAGAACATAGGGAGGGTGACATACTTGGAGAAGTCTACTATAGACCTGCCTGCCAAGAGGAAGAACTTTATCAGGAATTCATTAGCAAACTGGTCGAGGCTGCGTGCTCCCGATGCATGATTGTCACTGGGGACTTCGACTTCCCTGACATCTCTTGGGATGAGCACATGGCCAAATCTGACAGGTCGTGCAGCTTTCTCGCTTGCATTAACGACCTCTGCCTAATGCAGGAAGTCTATGAGCTGACTAGGGGAGAAGCATTGCTGGATCTGGTCCTGGCCAAAGGGGAGGACCTGATGAGCGATGTGAGGATCGAGGGGAAGCTTGGTGACAGCGACCATGATTTGGTCACCTTCTTAGTTCACTAAAGAGCAGGCAAATCCCTCAGTAAAGCAGAAATCCTTGACTTTGGGAAGGCTGACTTTTGCAAACTCAGAGCTTTGGTAAGTCAGGCAATTAGAGGCCATACCCCCCTAGATAAGGGAGTACACGAGGCATGGTCATCTCTCAAAAATATAATCCTTGAGGCACAGGGGAAAGCCATGTCATCTTGCAAGAAATGTAATCAACGGGCAAGGAAGCCCCCTTGGCTGAATAAGGAACTGTTGGACCTCATTACGCTCCAAGGAGTAGCCTACACTAGTTGGAAAATGGGAAGCATTACCAAAGAGGACTACTCAGCACTCGCCCGCATCTGTAGGGAGCGGTTGAGAAAAGCCAAGGCACAAACCAAACTCAGGCTAGCTATGGGGATCAAGGACAACAAAAAGTCCTTCTTCAGATGCATGGGAAGTCGAAAAAAGAGCAATAATAGCATTGGGCCCCTGCGAGATCAAACAGGGCAGCTGACATCTGACGCCCAAGAAAAGGCCAATCTCCTAAAGGACTTTTTTTGCACCAGTTTTTCACCCCCACAAGGGGGTCACACTGCCCGATAGGACATGAACCATCCTGGGAGTGGGTGGTGGGCCCAAAATCGATGTGGATCAGGTGAGGGAACACCTTGAGAAGCTGGACATTCACAAGGCCGCGGGCCCTGACAGATTGCACCCGAGTCTCGAAGGAGCTGGCGGACATCATGGCATCCCCCTTGGCAAAGACGCTTGAAAATTTGTGGCACTCGGGAGAGATCCTGGAAGACTGAAAAAGAGCCAACATGGTCCCTATCTTCAAAAAAGGGAGGAGGGATGACCCGGGGAATTGTAGACCAATCAGTCTGACGTCGGTCCCTGGAAAAATACTGGAGATATTGTCAAGGGATCCATCAATGCCAAACTAACAGAAAGCAAATTTCTGAAGGCCAGCCAACATGGATTTGTGACTGGCAGGTCATGCCTGACCAACCTCATCTCCTATGACCAGGCAACATACACCCTGGATGAGAGAGATGATGTGGATGTCATATATTTGGACTTCAAGAAAGCCTTTGACCTAGTGCCCCACAATGTCCTCATGGCTAAGCTGGGGAACTGTGGCCTTGATCATCTCATGGTCCAATGGCTAGGCAACGGGCTAAGGGGTCGGACCCAAAGAGTACTAGCTGACGGGAGCAAATCAACGTGGTGCAGGGTGAGCAGTGGAGTCCCTCAGGGCTCGGTACTTGGGCCGGTACTCTTTAAAGTCTTCATTAACGATCTGGAGTCAGGAGTCAGATGCGAACTGGCAAAGTTTGCAGCTGACACCAAATTATGGGGGAGGGCCGTCACACCGCAAGACAGGCTGGGAATGCGGGTCAATTTGGACATGTTCTCAAGGTGGGGAGACCAAAACCGGATGGCATCCAATGCAAGGTGCTGCACCTCAGTAGGAAGAACCCCCAACATACTTACAGGCTTGGCAATGCTACGCTTGCTAGTACCACGGCTGAAAGGGACTTGGGGGTCTTGATTGACCACAAGATGAATATGAGCCACCAGTGTGATGCTGTGGCCGGCAAAGCAAACCAAACTCTGGCGTGCATCTACCGATGCATCTCAAGCAAAACCAGGAATGTCATCCTCCCGCTGTACTCAGCCCTGAGGAGACCGCAGCTGGAGAACTGCATCCAGTTTTGGGCCCCCCACTTCAGGAGGGATGTGGAGAAGCTCAAGAAAGTCCAGAGGAGAGCCACTCGTATGATCCAAGGCCTGGAGGGAAGGCCATACGAGGAGAGGCTGAGGGACTTGGGACTCTTCAGTCTGGAGAGGAGAAGGCTCAGGGGGGACTTGGCGGCAGCCTACAACTTCATAAGTGCGGTACATCAGGACCTGGGAGAACACCTGTTCACCAGAGCTCCCCAAGGGATAACAAGGTCTGATGGCCACAAACTCCAAGAAGGCCAATTTAGTCTGGATATAAGAAAAAAGTTTTTTACGGTGCGAGTGTCCAGAGTCTGGAACAAACTCCGCCCAGAAGTGGTGCAAGCACCTACTCTGGACTCCTTCAAAAAACATCTGGATATTTTTCTTCGAGCGGACTCCCTGCCTATGGCAGGGGGCTGGACTTGATGATCTCATGAGGTCCCTTCCAGCCCCCAATGTCTATGAAAGCTATGAAATCTATGATACACAGTGATAGAAAATAAGAGTAATCGAAGGAAAGCAAGCAAGGTGATTACAGAATACAATACCAATTATTTGCCAGTCCCAGGGGGTTCGCAAAGAGTTGTGGGTGGATGAGATGGGCCAGTGGTGCGCCTTCTGCCCATGGTGGCCTTGGGATCCCCCCGTTGCTCTGAAAATCCCTCCTTTTGTATTCTTTTCCCCTGATGACTCTTTATTCCCAGGAATCGTTGATTGGTCTCCTTGTAGTCATTATATTGTCCAAGTTCTGTCCCGTCAGAATAATTGTTTGTTTCTACAAACCCATCACATGCATACATCTTAATTTGGGCATTTATCCGTGTCTTAATTTGGGCATTTATCCGTGTCTTAATTTGGGCATGCCCGACCTCCTGATTTGGTCATTTGACCAAAACCAGAAATCTCTGGGGTTTTCCAGTTGGTCACTGTGACCTAATGCCAATGCTACGGGTTCCTTTGTCTTTGCTAGGGAACACTGTGGTACATGTTTGCACAGCTTGTTTGTCCACTAGCTTCAGACACAGTGGGCCTTGAAGGCTGAGACTGTGAAACTTTATCACAAACAGACTTTTAGAAACCAATTAACCCTTGCCATTCCCTTGGACTATTGTTCAATGTAATAAATATTGTCGTCTCTACTCTACCTACAAGCCAATTCCTAAAAGCAAATCTCTAAATATCATTTCTAGCCATCAATCACCTGTTACATTACTTTTCTTAATTCTTACCCTGCTTTCTGGCTGGTCCCCATTCTTGTCCACAGGCTAATGACTTTGAAGGTGAAGTCACGTGTTATACAAGTGTCCTCATGTTAAAGTCCGTTAACACGTGCAAAGTGCCCTTGGACCATCTTAAAGTTATGCCACGCTAGGTGTGGCTTAACTCTGGGCTGTGCTCCCCAGCTCGTGTTAGGGTCACTTCATGCTGCTCCACAGAGATAAAATGGATGGTTTTGTGGTCTTCCAGCATCCCAGGATGCACTGCTCCTAGCCCCCTCCTCCAGAAGAGCAGGGGTAGAGCACAAGTGACTCCTAGCCACACCCCTGCTCGCCACCCTCTGGTGGCAAGTCGGAGCAGTGCAGGCAAGAAACATTATTAACCCTTTATGTGCGGCGGTTCCCAGCATGTTCTAACTTCAACACTGCTACACGCTGCGTGGGTTTGTCACGGACTGCGTGTAACGTGGAGCCTCACTCCAGTTTGCGGCACGGCCAGTACTGACCGGTTCAGTTAGGAACGTGAAGCTGGCAGGGGTCTCCCAAGGAATCCCCCAACTCCTCCCCATGCCCTAAGGCACCACTACAAGCCACTGATCCAGAAACCCACCTCTTTATGTGCTCGGTACCTGTGTCGCCTCACCTGCGGGCGAATGCTGTCTGTGCTGGCCCCCTCTGTGACATGACAGTCGTCTTCTTCCTTCAGCCCAGCCGGCCGAAATACAAGCCGCCTCCACAGACCAACCTGTTGGCTCCCAAGCTGCAGTTCCAGGTAAGACCCCGGGGCTTTTACAAGCCCACCTGCCAGCACCAAGAGGTGGGATATTGGAGGCTGCGCTCCCACCTGGGGCTGCCAGCATCATGCTTAGGGGGTTGAGACCCTCGCGCTTTGGTTGTGCCTATCGCTAACCAGCTGCTGCCTGCCAGCCAGCTCCATACAACAGCTAATCCCCTTTTGCCTTGGGCTCCAGCAGGATTCGAACACTCCTCCCTTCCCCACTACGATGATATCGGCCTAGCGATGCTCTCATAGGATGCTTGTTTGTGCCTTGAAGCTTCGAGAGAGACTTTCACCCAGCTCAGGTGTCAGCGCGCCCAGGGGTTAGCAGAGCCGAGCCCTTCCTGCATTTCCTTTCCAGGGACAGTCGTAGCTGGGTCCTTCTCCCCTCTGCTGCAACATAGCTTCACCCCTGCCCCGTGCTGAATTGAGTGGAGCAGCAGCGCGGTGGCTCTGAGCAGAATTTGGCCCTTTCTACCTTGGTCCAGCCTCCATCTAGTGCCTGTTCAGCAGTGAAGTACCATGAGTCACATCTTAGTGCTTAGCGTGCCCTGGATGGGCCTGGCATGCACCAGCCGAGCCCCGTTGGCTTCAATGTAGTTGCCTCCAGGATCAGAATTGGGCCCTTTTGGGCTGAAAGTACTTTATTAGAGAGACAATGTGGCCTACTGGTTCCAGTGCAGTGGGACTGGGAGCTCTGGGTTCTGCCAAAGACTCACTGCAGGGCTGTGGCCACGTCACTTTGTCTCCCTGTGCCTCAGTTTCTCCACCTCCCAAACAGGGAAGCTGATTTCTCTCGTCAACCCATCACCACAGCTCGCCTTGCTGGGAGGCGGTGAGGCTGCATTAGCTGTTGCTTGTAAGGCCCTTTAAGATCCTGGGAGGAGGATGGCTGGAGAAGCATGTAGCTTTAAAAACTTAGCCTTGCAACTCTCCTGGGAGGTAGGGAGCACCATTCCCATTTTACAGGTGGGGAAACTGAGGCAGGAAATGGCCAGATTCCCCAAATCATAGAGTCGTAGAAAAGTGGGTCTGGAAGGGACCTCCAGAGGTCCCATCCAGCCCTGTCCAAACCAACCTCTGAGCAAAACGGGAGTCACCCCGGCACAGCACCAGGCATCACACCCGCCCCTGCCCCAGGGAAAGCAAAGGGACCACGGTGGCCAATGTCCTGCTGCTGCAAAGGTTAATATACACTCCCGAGATCCCAGGCAGAGGCCGTGCTCCTGCTACAGAGGAAGGCAAACCCCGCCAGTGTGTACCAGTCTAACCGGAGGGGTGAAATCCCTTCCTGACCCCAAATGCAGCCTTGGTCTGTCCTTGGGTGCAGGGGCAAGATCCTGTAGCTAAGACTCAACCCCAACAGGAGCGTTGGCACAGCCCAGGCATAGGAGACCACTTGTTTCACTCCCCCCGGGTGAAAGCCCCTCTGCAGTGCTCCCCGCGCCTCGCGCTCTCCCTGTCTGTGTCTGCTCACCGTGTGCGTCCTGTTTCTGTGCCCGCCGCCTCCGGCTTCCCCGGACAGGTGCCCGAGGGCCTGTGTGCCAGCTCGCCGACGCTCACGAGCCCCATCGAGTACCCATCGCCTGCCAACTCCCTGCATACCCCGCCGCTCAACCGCCATAATGTCTTCAAGCGCCACAGCATGAGGGTAAGACGGGCCCCCACGGCCGCCCTGCCTCGCACACGACCAGGGCACATCGGTGGGGCAGGAGTGCCCAGAGAGCCTGTGTCTGCTACCGCCCCCATGGAGCAAGTTGGGGTGTCCAGCAGCAAGAGCCCGGTCCCTGGCCAGTGCTCCCCTGGCCAGGGTCCGTCAGGGGTGCTGCGTCCTGTGGCCTCGGTCTTTGTTATGCTGCAATGTCTGCTTTTTTATGCCAACGCCGTTCCTCCTGCCCTGGCTCCAGAATCAGCCCCTTTAACCCCTTCAGCGCCTGCCTGTATGAGCTGGGGTCAGGCAAGCCATCTGGCGGCATTGTCTGGCCTCGGTGGAAGTAGGGGGCACCGTGGCACCAAGCCACCATGGGCACCGGGGGCACGGATGAGCTCCAGAAAGCAACGTGGTGCATCCTCCCCCCGTGAAGGCTCCTTAGGGCATGTTCATGGATAGGCTGCTGTTCTCTTGATAGGGCAGCCCACCCGTGAGCAGCTGGCACAGCTGCCCTGGAAACTGGTGGGAGCAAATAAGCCACTTGTCCGGGACCATGCACAGGAGAGCCTGAAACTGGCTGCTCTGTGCTTTATCTGTACCAGCGAGAGGGGTTGCTTTGAGCTCAGAAATGGGGTGTATGCCCCGCTCTGCACAGGGGCTGTGGGCCAGTCTTGCCCTTACAAGGGGTTGGTCGTTGTGGCTTTAAGAACTGAGCCTCACAGCTCCCCTGTGACATAGGGAACATTTTATAGGTGGGGAAACTGAGGCAAGGTCTTTGGGATTGCCATTACCAGCCTCATTTCCCCCCTGAGTCTGGCTGCTTCTGTGGTTTTTCTGCAGACCCCCACCCCGTGCATCTCCAAGCACCCTCCCCCGGCCTGCCACCCCTTTCCAGTGAGCAGCCCCAGCTTAGACTGGAGCGGGCACCATGAGACAGGGCATTTGCATTGCTCCGTGCAGCACCAAGAGGTCCCAACTTTCCATGGCACCTTTGGAGACTCCCCAAACGGGAGCAATAACATAGTGCACCGCCCAGCTCTCGTGAGCAACAAGACAAATCAATACGTCCTGCTCAGGAGCAGCCCGCATTGCTACCCTGTGTGCCCTGGAGGAAGGCAGAGCTGAAGATTTAAGGCTTTGCTTTTGCAGAGAGCCTGTTAGAAAGAAAAGGGTGCATCAAGGAAGAGGAAGCCAATCATTCCCATACATGCTGCAGAATAAAATGTGCGCATCTTGTTTTTGAGAAGGTAGCATGAAAAAAAAAAGGATCTCTTCTGGTCACATCTACACATGCAGCAGACTGCGCAGTTGTTACCGCACAGTATTGTCGCCGCACGGTATTTTCCCGGTGCTACTGCGCAGTAGCAATGAGCGACTGCATAGTAGATTGTTACTATTGCACATTAGCATCACCGCGCGGTTAGTGCCCGGCAATGCTACTGCACAGTACCAATGTGGTGCCATAGCTCATTGCTACGGTGCCGTAGCGTCTTGTGTAGACGCGCCCGCTGCGTACTAAGTAACTGAATAGTGGCAGCTAGGATCCCGGCCAGCTCCATGCTGTACTTCCAGGGTGTCTGTGCACGTTTTCCTTGCAGGGTCACTGGGAAGTGGCAGCAACTGCTCTTACTGTATTTCTCACCTATAATACGCACCACATTTCCCAGCAGATATTTTTTTGGGGGGGGAAGTTGCATGTTGCATGCAAGAAAATATGGTAGCGGTGCAAAGGGAAAGGGCGCGGGACCATTCCTGCAGGTTGCCTTGATGCGCTGGTCGGAGGCTCGGGACCTACTCTGATGCCTTACAGAGCTGGGGATCCAGAGTCACGGTGTTGCAGGCGCGGTGGAGGGTCTCTGCAGTGTGGCTAGCTGCCCTGGGCCCAGTGGGTGCAGGGCTGGGGAGGGGGTGGGTGGTCACTGCTGCATGACCCCCTTAGTCACTGCTCACCTTTGTGTCGCAGGAGGAGGACTTCCTCCGGCCCAGCAGCAAAGAGGAGGCCCAGAAGCTGTGGGAGATGGAGCGGGTGAAGATGAGGCAGCTGCTGGACAAACAGCAGAGGCAAATGACGGAGGATTATCAGTGGCTGCAGCAGGAGGAGAAATCCCTGGTGAGTCCCTGTCCCGTCCCCTTGGGGTCGGCCGGGACGTTTCCCTGGGAAAATCCCAGGGCAGCGGATGGCAGCAAGGCTGCAATGTTCGGTTTGCCCAGTTCAGGGCTGCTTTTCATCCTCAATGAGTACACTGCATTGCTGTACTGTCTCACATACCACGCATCCCCAGGTAGGACCCTCACCTTGCTTTGGGAAGGCAGAAGCACGAAAAAAAAAAGATTTTTCCAGAATCACAGCCCAAAGCTGACCGCATGCAGCAGCTCCTTGGCTGTCTCAGGTGAACGCTGGTTTTTACCCTCTCTCAGCCACTGCCGAATTGCCAGCAGCTTTTGGCTGGAAGAAGAGAGAGAAGCAGAGCCCTCAGCAGCCATTGCAATGTGTCCATGCTTCTATTCCAGGACAGAAATCAGCTTCCCTGCATAAGACATGCACCCCCGTTTTGGCAGGCTAATTTTTGGGGGGGAGGTGTGTGTGGTACATGAGTAAATATGGTATAATACCTTACACCACATTGTATTGTATCGTATCTTGTATCATATCCTGTCCGTCTTGCTTACAAATATCATTGACAATCCCTCGGAAAGTTGGCCAGTTTTGATTCCTGTGGAATATACTGCATTTTTTAAGTGTTTGCCAGTGTTTCAATTGGCTGCAGTAGTGTTTTTTTAATCGGACATTGACCTGGATAACGGGCAATTAGCAGGTGAACTCAGGCCAGATACATTCGTGTCGTGTCAGTCAAAATACTCCAATGATTCGTTCTTATAGTTCGAATGTTGTGACTCTGCATTCACTTGCGTTTGGAAACACGAGGGCATTTTTGAACTGGGACAAAATGAATGGTTCGAAAATGCCCCAAGAGGCCCTCGCGAGTATTTCAAACTAAAAAATATGTAAAGCAAGAACTGTGTTAAAACTCCTGGGACAGTTCAAGGCTTTACTGATGTGTAAACTGCATCAGAACTGCTCAATTGCATGTCATGGGGCCTATACTGCTAACACGTAAAAGAGATTCTCCCTAAGCCCAGGAGATAGCAGGCTGGGATTTTGGAATAAGAGCCTCTAAATACTGCCTGGGAGGGGGGTAAGCAGTCTAGTGACAGCAACTGTGAACTTCCTAGGGGGCCATATGTCTGTGACTACCCGACGGCCCAGGGACGGAGTTGGGGCTGGTCCTGCTTGGAGCAGGGGGTTGGACTAGATGTGACCTCCTGGCATCTCTTCCAACCCTCGTTTTCTATGGTTTTGTGATAACACGTACGTGGTTCGCTGTTTCTGCGCTACTTATATTTCTTGTTCTTCCATCCTACAGGACCCCATGGTGTTTATGAACAACAACGCTCCTCCTGTGAGTAGCACAAGGCCAGTCCCCATAGAGGCTAAAGCTTTACAGGGAACCTAGCTCTCTCTCCATGCATAGCCTTTCCCTTCACGAGGCTTCGAACTCAGCTGTGTGTTTTAGTGTCACTCAGAGATGATCCATGATCTCCTTATACTTACCCCCCGCTGCAGTGTAGGTCCGCATTGCATGACTCAAACAGTTCCTTCAAACCCTTGTTGTGAAGCGTGGTAAGAAGAGCCTGGAGCTGCGTGGGTATTTTCCAGGCTGCTGGGCTTTGCTGGTTGCCCCCTCCCCATCTTCCTGCTAAGTATGTCAGGGGGGGTTTAAGCCTCCCCCAGAGGCGCTGGGTGCTGCTGCAGCTCAGGCTGGGGCTGGGATGGGGACTGGGCTGTGCCAATGCTCCTGCTGGCGTCGATCCTGCAAGGTCCGGAGGGTCTTGTCCCTCTGCTCAAGGTCCGACTGATGCTGCATTTGAGGTCAGGAAGGATTGTACCCCCATGGTCACATTGGTGCAGACTGGACAGGGGGGTTGCCTTCTTCTGCCTGGGACCTCTTGAGTGCATATTAACAGCCTTTTATAGAAGCAGCATGCTGGCTGCCGCGGTCCCTCTGCTTTCCTGTGGTGCAATGTCTTGGGTCAGGGTTGAAGGTAGTTTTATAAAGAGTTTGGATGATGGGTTTGTCCGGGCTGGTTTGCACAGGGCTGATCCTGCCTCAGGCAGAGGTTGGACTAGATGTGACCTCTGGAGCTCCCGTCCAGCCCCTCGGCTCTAGGATTTCAATGATTTCTATGATTTTTGTGATTATGGATTTGTCTGGGCTGGTTTGGACAAGACTGATCCTGCCTCAAGCAGGGGTTGGACCGGACGAGACCTTTGGAGGTCCCTTCCAGCCCCACGGCTTTGGGATTTCTATGAACTGAGGGTCTTCCCAACACTTGGAAGTGTGAGTGCACGGCTGAATTGCCATGACCAGCCCCAGAGCTAGCCTCGGTGCAGTCAGGCGTGCGAGATATGTGAACAGGTTGAACCTGCATCTGTCAATCTGAAGTTGGCTTCTGTTGAATCTGTTAATGGCAATTCATGGATAGTTTTACTTTATGTTCACAGTAGAGTCTGTGCTTGCTAGTCCGGCAGCGCTCTTTCCCATGCTTGTGGCTGGAGCCATTCATTTGTGAAGCCCCTGGGGCAAATGTAACGGGGTGGAGACTGGAGATTGGTCCCAGTGCAGCCTTCTCAAACCAGTGCAAGATTGCTCCTGCTGGCAGACTTTGCACAGCTGCTTGTGAGCAAGCGGTTGGACCTGTGCAATGGCAAAGGGCTGCCTCCAGCATCTCTTTGGAGACAGCAGGTGCCGACCTCCCCGGGGCTGGCCACGCTGATGCAGAACAGCTGCAGCAACAGAGCAAAGGCGGTGTGCATGGGAGCAGGAACTGCTACGCTGCTCCTTTCATTGCTGGCCGTCTGAGCTGGCACTTGGCATAGAAATGCTAGAGCAGTGGAGCTGGACGGGCGCTCCAGAGGTCCCATCTAGTCCAGCCCCCTGTTTGAGGCAGGATCGGCCCTGTGCAAACCAGCCCGGACACATCCATCCTGTCTAAACTCTTTGTAAAACCACTGTCAACCCTGCCATCACACCAGACATCACCCCTGAACCGGCCGCAGGCAAAGCGGGGGGCCCACGGCAGCCTATGCCCTGCTTCTATGAAAGGTTGAGAAATCCCAGGTAGAGGCCACGCCCCTTGCTATAGAGGAAGGCAACCTCCCTCCAGTCCACACCAGTTTGACCATGGGGGAAAATACCTTTGTGACCCCAAATGCAGCATTGATCTGAGCCTGAGCTAAGGGTCAAGACCCTCCAGCCAGGACCCTGTGGGGTTGGTGCCAGCAGGAGCATGGGCACAGCCCAGTCCCCATCCTCAGCCTGAGCTGCAGCCGGCACCCAGCACCTCTGGGGGAGGCTTAAAAGCCCCATGACACATGGAGCAGAGCAGGAGAGGGGGCAAGTAGGAGACAATCCCCATAGGAGAACATGCTGTTATATACTGTTATATTTCTCTTTCCTTTGCAGCTACTCCCGGAGAAGGAGACCGACTACAGTGAGTGTCCATGCCAGACTGCCCCTTCCCCCTCGTTGCAGGCAGGCCCATGCAGCGGGGTGGGGGGCTAGCAGGGGATTCCTGTGTGCAGGGGTTTCTAATTGCACATGCTCATTGAATAGGAGGGGGCCACTCTTTCTGAGCTGCTTGTCTCCATGCTACCCCAAGCCAGAGAGGACTGCTGGTTCACTGTGCCGCATCGGGGCTTGTACCTCCTTCTAGAGCTGCCGGGCATTGCCCCCTCTCCTTGTCCCCTCGGTCCAGTGTCCAGTCTCTCACAGGAGCACAGATATTTCTGCAAGGACTGATCCACCCCCTGCCCCTCTCCCCTGCCAGCTCCCAGCACTCAGAGGCCCAATTGTGAGGTTGTTGCTTAGTTTAGAGAGCCGGAGGGTACAGACTCTTCTCCGTGACCGCTGCGCGGCGTAGGCTGCAAAGAGCTGAGCTTAAATTGCAGCGAGGAAGATGGGGGTGAGAAGAGGCAGGTCACTGTGGGGTTGCCAGCCCTGGGGCGGGGTAGCCAAGGCCACCTCCGGTCCCTCCAGCCCTGCTTCCTCTGATGCCATAATAATAATAATAATGATTGTTTTTAATTTCCCTTTATTGATGGTGTAGCTGAGTTCACGGGCCCACCGCAGAAACCTCCCAGGTTCGGTGCACAGGTAGGTGGGAGACCTGATCGGGGGGGACGACCTCAGCCCCAGCCTGCGTCCCTCCTTTTCCGCTCGGGGTCGCACGGCAGGACCGCGTCCGAGCCCTGCAGGCCACGTCTGTCCCACTCCTGCACGCGTGCTTTGGGGTCACGAGCCTGCCAAGGGCTTTGGGAGCAGGGTTTCCCCAGCCCGGATCTATGAGCTCGGCGCACACGAGCAGAGAGGACGGGGCCTGCTCAGGAGAAGCCCGGGGGGTCATGCTGGGATGTGCTTTGGAAATGGCCTCTTAGTGCACCCCCATGCTCTCCAGAGCCCCCCAGGCCATCGGTCACTTCTCTCCTCCCCTAGGTTTGAACCGGGGGCTGGTGAGGGTGGCTCTGGGTCTCCTGCCCTGTTGCATGGGCGTAAAAGAGAGGTTTGGTGTCAGGATAATGGTTAGAAGATCCCGGGCTATGTCCCTGTTGGCCAGTGGCAGGTTGAACCCCCCCCCCCCCACATCACATGCCCCTGCCCTTCCTTCTCTCCGGTGCCTATTGCCAAAGCCATTTGCAAGGACCCCATTAGGCAAGCTGACCTCTTGCCCCCCCACCCTGCCCCAGCCGTTCCAGTCAGCCCCCACGGCCAACTTGGACCGGACGGACGATGCCGTCTACAGCAACGTGACAGACCTGGTGAAGGCCGTGCTGCAGCTGAAGAACGAGATCTGCCAGCTGCCTCCCGAGGGGTACATCATCGTCGTGAAGGTAAAGCAACCCTGAGACCTCCACCGGGGAAAAGCGGGGGTCCCTCTGCAGCTAGCCACGTGGCCAGCACCACGTCCTGGGACCCTCCACCAGCCCCAGGGACCGAGGCGCGAGTCTAGGGCAGGACTCGAACTCGCATCCTCCACCCACGACCAGCCTTCGACCCAGGTTCCAGCACTAGCTGCAAACCGATAGCATTACCCAGGACGCACCTCTTCCTAACCCGGGTGCATCCAGGGTAATGCTATTGGTGGCTGTTAGGGAGAATTGAGCCATTGCCTCTCACATCCCCGTTCCCCTCCGCAGAACGTGGGTCTCTCCCTGCGGAAGCTGATCGGCAGCGTGGACGAGATCCTGCCCGTCCTGCCCGCGGCGTCCCGCACCGAGGTAGGATTGGGCCCCTTCTGGTGCCCTCCTGGACGTGGAAGACGATGCTGTCACCTGGGGAGGGGTGCGGGCAGACACAGGCGATCGTGAGCGTGGAGTAATTTACCTTGGGTTTTTACTCCGCGATAAGGAGCAAACCCATGCCCAAGAGGTGTTATTATAGCGCCTGGCCCCGAGGAGGGGGAGCTGGCTTTTATGGAGCAGGTGCCCATAGTGTCTCCGTAGGGACTGTGTTTGCATCCTTGTGCAAGGGGTGGGTGTGTGTGTGTACACGTGTGTGTGCAAGACTGCTCCTACCAACAGCCATCAGCAGGGCACAGACCCAGCCCTCAACCCCTCTCTGCTAATGCAATAGCTCCATCCATTGGCAGATGCAGTAGGTTGTTACCCCCTAAGTCACAGGGGTCAAACTCATGTGGCCTCATGGTCAGAGGAGCTTGACCGCTGTGACTTAGGGGAAAACAACCTCCCACATCTGCCAATGGACGGTGCTGTGGGCTGGATCACGCCCGGAGACCTCCTTATCTGTCCCCGTGGGCTGGATCCAGTGCTCGTAGCCAGTCCAGTGGCACGGAGACACTGCATGCAGCTTATGGGTGCAAGACCTGGCATGTTATGGGGGGGCCCACTAAGTCACCAGGGCCAGGACAGGCTCTTCCCAAGCATAACCCGGGGAGGTCCCCAGCTTTCCCCTGCTCTTCGTGCTCCCGCGTGAACGTGCTCTGTGCCGGCAGATCGAGGGTACCCAGAAGCTCCTGAACAAGGACCTGGCCGAGCTGATCAATAAGATGCGCCTGGCTCAGCAAAACGCGGTCACCTCGCTGAACGAGGAGTGCAAGCGCCAGATGCTCACGGCCTCCCACACGCTGGCCGTGGACGCCAAGAACCTCCTGGACGCCGTGGACCAAGCCAAGGTCCAAGCCAGCCTGGTGAAGCTCTCGCTGGAGTGAGAGGCAGGGCAAGGAGGAGCGAGCGATGCAGCTGGCGGGGCACGGGAGAGGAGCCTGCCCCGGAGGACGTGGCTTTCTGTATCTTCTCTGGCCTCGACGTGCTGCCCCTTCCCCGCAGTCTCTCTCATGTCTTTGATATCGTCGTGTCGGTTGTCCGAATCCAGGCAGGGGGCTCCCGGGGCCAACGCTGGCGGGGAGGGGGGGATTGGCCGTCTTCCTGGGTCCGGCAGCCTGGGCGGCTGGGGACAAGCCTGCTTCCACGGGCCACGGGGTGGGGTGGCGCTAGGCCACGGCCAGCACTGGCTAGTCCGCCCGGGCAGGGAGCTGGTCGAGCCGTTCTCCTTCCCCAGAGGTGGTCGCATCAGTTCAGGGGACCCCCGCGGGGTGAGGATGCCCGTGCTGCGGTGGGCTGAGAGCTGCACGTTCCCCGCATGCCTCTCTGGACGCGGTCCACCAGCCCCCGTGAGCTCGGGGGGGGCGCAGGATCTTCCTTTCCTTGTACATTGTACAGAAGAGTTTATTTAATGACCCCCGGGTGGTCCGCGGGCCTCTCTGGGACCCGCGCTTCTCGTGCGCGAGCCGCCCAGCACCAAACAGCGCCCGGCCCTTTCGATCTGGTTTGTCGTCCGATTCATCCGTGTCCGGTCCTGGGCTTTTCCCGTGAGTTCCCACGAAGCTGTTTGTTCTGGCCGAGATAAACCATGTACAAAGGTGCCCCCGTGCCTCTGCCTCTCTGTCGCGTCCCGGCGAGTGACTGCGCCTTGGAGGGGCCGGGCGTTGTGCGCCGGGCGCTTTTGTGTGTCCCTTGGGGGCGGGAGAGCTCCTAGCAGCCTTGGTGTGTCCCAGTGCACGCGCGCACATGCGCGGAGGCAGGCACTCCCGTTATATGTCCAGCCGGAAACACACCCATGCACACAGCCGCACACCTACCTACCCACACCCACAGGCTTCATTATACGGCCAGCCACAAACACACACACACACCCACCTCATTACCTAACAGCCAGAAACACATAGACATACATACACCTACCCCCACAACCACACATTTTATTATACATCCAGCCACCAACACACCCATGCACACACCCTCACACCTACACCCACATGCTTCATTATACAGCCCGCCACAAACACATACACCCACCTCATTATATATCAGCCAGAAACACATGCATATGCACTCATGCACACACCCCATCACACCAACCTCACAACCACACATTTAATTATGCATCCAGCCACCAACACACCCATGCACACACCCTCACACCTACCCCTACACACACATACTTCATTATTCTGCCAGTCACAAACACACACACCCACCCCCATTACAGATCAGCCAGAAACGTACCTACACACACACACACCTCATGATATATCCACCCAGAAACACACACCCACACCCTCACACCTACCCCCACACTTCATTATGCAGCCAGTCACAAGCACACACACCCACTTCATTATATTTCAGCCAGAAACACACACCCACCCACACACTTTATTATACATCCCGCCAGAAGCGTGCGTGCACACACACACACACACTTCACTATACATTCAACCACAAATGTACATACATCCCTCATTATATATCCAGGCAGAAACATACCCACACACACACCCACACACACACCTTATGCATCCAGCCAGAAACACAAGCATATATGTGTGCACACACACACACTCACACCTACCCCACACCCACTTCATTATACATCCAGCCACACACACACACACACACACACACACACATCCCTTATCATATATCAGCCACAAATTTACCCACACATCACACATACACATGCACACCTCATTATGCATCCAGCCAGAAATGGACCCCCCCCACACACACCCACATCCTTCATACACCCATCCAGAAACACATCCGCACACTCCCCCACAGCCCCATCATCATACAGGTAGTTAGAAACACATTCACACTTCATATACACCCAGCCAGAAACACACACACATACACACACGCACGAAAGCTCATTATACACCCAGCCAGAAACCTTCCCACCCACCCATGCAAACACCCTTCATATATGCCCAAGATGCTAACACACCCACACGCACCCCCGCATTATGCATCTAGCCAGAAACACACACACACATACACACACCTCTTGTACATCTAGCCGGAACCCCCCCCACCCCTCCACACACACACACCCCTCATGCACCCAGCCAGAAACACACCCCTGTGTCCACCCACGCTTGCCCATCGAGTCACGTACACCCGCCGTGTCCTGGATGGACAGCCCGGAACATGCATACGCTGCAGGCCCTAAATCCTATTGGGTTGAAAAAGTTTATTCCAGCTCATTTTTGTGCTAGTGTGTACAGCCCAGGTCTTCTCCCCCGTGTGCAGTCATGACCTCTCCCTGGCTGGACCCCAGGCCCGCAGGACATGGCAGAAGCATGGGGGGAAGGTCGGGGTTTTTTTGGGAAGCTGCAAATGAGGACCTGTAGAGCTGTGGGGCAAGCAGGGAGCTGCGGAGGTCACATCTAGCCCAACCTCTGCCTGAGACAGGGTCAGACCTGTCCAAACCATCGTCCTTTTGATCTGAATACATGGAGGCTGGAAAAAAAGAGGAGGCTTCCAGCAATCAGAGCAGGGGGGTGATGGACCCACCACGCACAGGCGACCAGGGTTTAAGGAGCTGATAAATGCAGTACCATGATGCACTGCCTTCATCAGCTAGGGACTGCTGGGAAATGTCAGCTCCGTAGCTGGCAGGGTTGGCACGAGGATGGTCCTGCTAGCTGGCAGGAGATGGGGGCAGGCTGGGTCCAGTGTCAGACCCCATGAAGCGCACGGGGTCCACTGTGATGGGAGAGAGGGTGTTGTGCAAGACCAAAGGGGACTGTTGTGAACAGGTTACTTTGCACATTGGTCTCCGTGTTGCTCATGTGCATCTCAGCCACGATCAAGGGGGAGTTTGTGCACAGACCAGGCCCCCCTCAGTGGTAGCCTGCTGGTGAGACTGGGAGACCTGGCAGTGAGGACTCCTGGGTCCTTGGAGCTGCTTAGAGCCCTCCCCTGTGACCAGCGCCCTGTCCCGGAGACCCAGCACAGCCCCAGAGGGTCAAGCGTCCTGTGTGCCTCAGTTTCCCTCCCTCTGGAAAATGGCAAGGTGGGCTCCCAGGGGAGCTGTGCGAGTTACCCCTTTATAGGGGGGACGGGACTGAAAAACAGCAAGTGGGGTTTTTTCTTCCCCCATCACTGAAATGAACTTCAAATGGGTTGTCCTGCT